AGCGCCGCCGCACTCCCAAGCGGCGCACTGTAGCAGTGCGCCACCGGGCCGGCCCATGATTTTCTGCCTGCTGGATCTGTCCATTACTGACAGAGTAGTGTTGAGATCTCCAAGTATAACAATGAATTCATCTATTTCTCTTTTCAGTGCTATTAGTTTTTGCCTCATGTATTTTGATGCTCTGTTGTTAAGCACCTACACATTAAGGATTGTTATTCTTCTTGGAGAATTGACCCATTTATCATTATGTAATACTCCTCTTTATCCTGATAATTTTGCTGCCCAAAAGTCTGCTTTGACTGAAATTAGGATAGCTACTCCAGCTTTCCTTTGATTAGTGTTAGTATGGTATATCTTTTTCTGTGCCTTTACTTTAACCTAGTATGATATCCAGTTGCTGCAAAATCAACTGTTCTGAATGAAGACTTATCAAGGTGATGATATTTTGATTTATTTTCACTGTGAGCTGGCTTTTTTCCCTATATAACTATAATAGATTGCTAATTAATGTTGATAAATATGTTTGATGACTTTCTCCAATCACTGTACCTCTCCAAAAGAAAATAGTTTTAATTCCACCATGTACTATGGGATAGATTTTACCAGTACCACTTATGTATCCTGCAGTGGTTTTTTTTAAGTGTTATATATTTACAACTTTGCCTCTTGAATTAGACAGTTTTACTCTAGCATAGAGATATTTATTACTTCTAAGGACATGTCAATGCTGCTTTTAGGCACAATTTTAAATTTGCTGAAGAAAGCCATTCCTATTGAAGAGAGGTTTCCATATTTCAAGATGGCCATGGCTTTAATTCTAAGCAAATGAATTAAATAATTCTTATGAATTAAATCAGTTATGATATCTACTGTATTACACTTTTAAAAATGCAGTTGGAAAATATGCACTACCTACTACCTGAGATAGTTATGGTGACGAATGAGCTTCTCACTTAGATTTATGGAGCTATTAACCTGTAAATAATTTTTATAAAATAGGTCACAGACTGAGTCTGCCAGAATCCTAGATGTAACTCTCATGTTTTATGAATTGGTACTTCAACTCTAAACTAAAACAAAGTTTCTTTTCAGAGAATCAGTTTTATCTTCTGTGCATTTCCGCTCCCAAACTACCAGTTTTTTAATGCAAAAAAGTAAAAGATTGCGTGCATATACTTATATCTTCATATATGTTACACTTTCCTCTGTGTAACTAAGATGGAAAAA